GGAAGTTATTTAATTGAAACTTAGGATCCTGAAGGGAGTTGACTAGGTGGATGTTGAAAGGATGTTTCCTTTTGTGGGAAAATCAAGAACTAGGGACCATGGTTTTAAAATAAGGGATCACCCATTTGAAACTGATGAGGAAATATTTTTTCAGTGTTGTGCTTCTTTAGAGTTCCCACCTTCAAAAGGCAATGCATGCAGAATCTTCAAGTATTTTTTAAGGGATAGGTATTGATTACTAAGGGAGTAAAAGATTATTGGGGATCCAAAGGAATGCTGAGTTGAGGTTAAAATCAGATCAGCCATGATTTTATAATGCTGGAGCAGGCTCGAAGGACTGAGTGACATAATTTTCCTTGTTCATATATTTGTATTGTCAGAGCAGGCTCAACTGGCCATACAGTCTACTCCTATTTCTTGTGTTGAATTTCAGCATTTATTTGAAGGCTTTTTGTAATGTCCTGTTAGAGTGGGGTCACCTGGCTGTTGGATTTGCCCAAGGTGATCACTAAATTAGATGGAAAACCAGGACAGTATAATTTGTAAATACTACATATGTTACAATAATGAAGTAGCGTTCCATTAGTTATTGTTGTGACCTTTGGGTGGAAGTGGAGGAAATTGAAAATGTAAGCAGAATTGACAACTTTTAGTTTAAGGGCATAATTAAAGTCTTGACTTGCAAAGTTGCCTTATTTAAAGAAAATGTGAAAAATGTGCTCGGGCATAGAAATAGAAATGGGAAACACATACAGTTCTTGAGCTGACTCTACCAGTTATGCAGAATAGATGAGGCGTTGCATCTCAACTGTCCTTTCCCAACTGATTACCTTGCAGTCCAAAAATGTGCTTTGATTTTGAGCTGAAAAACTGGGGGTCTTATGCCGTCATGCTTTTTACATTTTTGATTTGGGCAGTTAATTATTCACCACTATGTGCTTGGCAGGTGACTTTCTTCCAGGATAAACTTTCAATAGTTCTGAATCCAGATACCTAGATGCGTGTAAACAGGGGAAATGAATGGCATCCTGGATAGCAGCTTCATCCGTGTTTAGTCTACCTTTTTAATATGACTGAAGTTGGAGATTCTTAGGTGGAAGAACAACCAAGTCGTGTTCTACCTTTATCATTCCTGAAATAGCACCATACATTTTATGCAGAAGTATGGAACCATTTCGTTCTAACATAAACATGCATTCTCTCTGCATGAGAAAGTACTTGTCCTAACGTACTTGTCCAGTTTTGCAGCTACGTCCAGGCAGGCGCACCATTGAAATGTGAGGATTTTTTTTTTGGTTTCTCGTGTGAGGCATGCTGCATGGAAGATTTCTTTTTATCATGTTTTCCCCTATTAACGCAGAAGTTAATGATTTGTCAAAGTGTTACTTCAAAACTTTAATCTTAAAAGGTAGTGATTTTGCTGGTTTTCCTCGTAATAGCTTCCTCACTGGCTTGCAAGGTGAGAGCGGTCTGTTTTAATATTGAGTTACAAACTGATGCAGTACCTCTTTTTTAAATGGCAATCGTTGATTTGAACTCTGGTCTTCTATTCAGATGGCATTTTTAAAAAATTCTATATCATCCATGGGATTTTTAAAATTTATTCACGGGATGTGGGTATTGCTGGCAAGGCCAGCATTTATTGCCAATCCATACATGCCTGGAAGAGCTATTAAGAGTCAACCACGTTGCTATGGTTCTGGAATCACGCAGGCTAGACTAGGTAAGGACGAGAGTTTTCTGTCTATAAATGACATTGGTAAGCCTGATGTAACATTGATTACGTGGTTGCCATTAGGCTAGGTGTTTTATTTCAGATTTTCATTCATTCAAATATCACCGTCAGCCATGGTGGGATTTGACCCATGTCTCCAGAACATTAACCCAGTTTTCTGGAATACTAGTCAATGACGTTACCATTACTTCACCAACTCCATTTCTACCAACATCTGTGTAATTTATCTCCAGTAAGTAGTTGTGAAATACTTTGAACCAATAGTTGCAATCAGTGGTGTTCTGGAGACCCAGGCTAATGCTCTGGAGTATAGGTTCAAATCCCACCATGTTAGATGGTGAAATTTGAATCAGTGAAATTCTGGCTTCGAAAACTAGCCTTACGTCAATCTTGTAACCATAGTTGATTATTGTAAAAACCCATTTGGTTTACTGTTGTCCTTTAGGGAAGGAAATCTGTTGTCCTTACCTGGTTTGGATGACATGTGACTCCAGACCCACAGCAATGTGGTTGCCTCTTACCTGCTGTATGAAAAGGTCCTTGCAACCCATTCAGTTTAAATGGCAATTAAGAATGGGCAGTAAATGTTGGCCCAGCCAGTGACACCTACATTCTATGAAAGAATTTTTAAAAAAAGTTCACCTACAGTGGTTATTAGGGAAAGAGTTCAAAGTTTTTGACTAATGGCAGTCAGTGATGTGTAACTTGGGGCAATTTGCTGATCGAGATGAATGATGTTGCAGTTTTATGAACTGCAATGCAACTTCAAGATGCTGATGCCAACTAAACCAGAAAAGAATCTGGCTGTACATTTACATCTAAATTTGGCTGTTGCTGTGATTCATTACATACGTTAACATTATTATAGTGACTTTTTTGCGTCATTATACTACTATGATCTTCATTGTGACAAGTTTGGACAATTAGAACAACCAATCTTCACCATAACCTTTTCTGTTATGCTTAGCATGTTTTTCTAAGGTTGAGTGATACACATCAGTAAGGGCATGTCTTTCAAGATCTATCAAGAGCCCAGTGATGTAGAATAATTGTGGACAATAGAGTCATTTTATTGATTCAAGTTAACACACCGAAAGAATTGCGGATGCTGTAAATCAGGAACAAAAACAGAAGTTGCTGGAAAAGCTCAGTGGGTCTGGCAGCACTTGTGAAGAAAAAAATCCAGTGTTAACATTTCAGGTCCATTCCTTGTTCCAGTTCTATTCCGGCCCCCAACCACAACTCTTTCTCCGATTTATATCGATATCACCTGTGCTCCTTCCCCCTCTCTCGTCCAGAATTGGAAAAGTTCATCAATTTTCCTTCCAGTTTCCACCCTGCCCTCACTTTCACCCGGTCTATTTCTGACTCCTCCTTTCCCTTCCTCAACATTTTTGTTTCCGTTCCTGGGGATAGACTGGCCACTAATATCCACTACAAACCCACTGACTCCCACAGCTTACTTGGACTATACATCCTCACACCCTGTTTCCTGTAAAGACTCCATTCCATTTCTCTCAGTTCCTCTGTCTCCGTCATATATGTTCAGATGAGGCCACCTTCGACAAGGGAGCCTCTGAAGTGTCCACCTTCCTCAACCGATGATTCCCTCGAACCATTGTCGACAGGGCCCTCAACCGGGTCTGACCCATCTCCCACACTTCCACCCTCACCCCTTCTCTTCCCTCCTGCAACAGCGATAGGATTCCCCTTGATCTTACCTACCATCCCACCAGCATCCATGTCCAGAAGATCATCAGACGCCGTTTCCGCCACCACCAGACACTCCCCTCCCTTATCCACCTTCTGCAGGAATCATTCCCTCCAAGACACCCTGGTCCGCTCTTCCTTTACCCCACCACTACCTCCGCAGCCCCACGACATCTTCCCCTGTAACCGGCGAAGGTGCAACACCTGCCCATTTACCTCCTCCCTCCCCAGTATCCAAGGGCCCAAACATACCTTCCAGGTGAAGCAGCACTTTACCTGCACTTCCCAGAATCTAGTCCACTGCATTTGCCGCTCACAATGTGGCCTCCTCTGCATTAGGGAAATGAAGGGTAGACTGAGTGACCGCTTCGCAGAACATCTATGTTCTGCTCGCAAAAAAGACCCTGACCTATCTGTTGCCTCCCACTTCAACACGTCTCTCCGTTCCCTGGCCAACATCTGTCTCGGGCTTGCTGCAGTGTTCCAGTAAAGTTCAATGCAAGCTGGAAGAATAACGTCTCGTTTTCTGCTTGGGGACCCTGCAGCCCTCCGGACTCAATATCGAGTTCAATAATTTTAGGGCCTAAACTCTCCCATGTCCTAGCCTCCTACCCCACACACCAGGCCTTGTTATCACGTAGTCTGCCAATACACACTACCTGTTGTTAGTAATCAACAGTCCCCATTAACAACTATTCACCCTCCCAGCTGCATTGTTATCGACTCCTCTGTCGGTCCAACTGTTCTTTCTTTTTAGGCTCTATTCTATCGTTTACTGTCTACCCCACCCCCTTCCTATTTTCTGCATATAACTGACTTTTTCCCAGCTACCATCTGTTCTGAGGAAGGGTCACCGGACCCGAAACGTTAAATCTGATTTTTTTCTTCAGATGCTGCCAGACCTGCTGATCTTTTCCAACAGCTTCTGTTTATGTTAGGATACACCTCTAGAGCAGATGAAACTTTATCTGGGCTTTCTGGGTCGGCGGTAGGGGACACTACCATTGCACCACAAGAATCCTCAGTAGATTCATTATATCTTTTGTGTAAGATTCAAATGGATGAAAAAAAGTTTACTGTTGAGACTGAAGAGATAATGTACTGCTGTTAAATAGGTTTACCATATTAAATTAACAATGTTTTTTTAAAGCCTTTGTTAGCATCTCATGTTTGAAATGTCATGGGATATCATGTCTGCAAAGATGCAGGTACAATGCTTATTCAAATCTTTGCCTGTTGCGAGTTCAGTGTATACCTGAAAGCAGTAGAGAACAGTTAATGTAGCTTGTGGGGTATTTTGAGTTGTAAATAGCTAGACTCTTTTTTTTTTAAAAAATGTCTTTCTGAAATACTCTTGTTGGTTTGAAATAACCTATCCTCCCTGATACCGCCTTTGTGTTTGTAAACATTACCTCTGTAATATCCCATGTGAAGATTATTTTGACTTTGTACTTTTGCTTGTGAGCCCCGTTCCTCCGACTGTGGGGTGAGGGTTTGGTGGGAGATTAACTCTTGCTTATGTTAAGTGTTGACTTTACAACTTTTGTTCCTGTAGATTGACTGTAGTCATTTGGGCCAGTTGGGTTGTACCATGGCTTCAGGTGGGGGAGATGAAAACCCTTTCAAAACAAACCCAGCTAAACTACATAAGAACCGTTGTAGGCGCCCATCAAGACCAGTAACAGGTGAGTGCTAGCTTTTGATAATTAAAATGATTATGAATCCCAAAAATACTTCTGTTGGAAAGAAAAGGTCTGAATACCTTAATTGAAGTAAAGGGGACATTATAAAAAACACACGCTTCACAAAAGACCACATGGCAAGCAGTTGGAACCAAAGGTTTTTAATTATACTACACCTATTCTGGTCTTCTAATTTTAAATATGCATGAAAAATAAGAATGTTTTCTGATGTATTTTGTGTTCTGTGGTGTTTGAGATCTCAGCTGTTGAAATGTCAGGTTTGTTCTCTATTCATATGTCATCCCACAGACCTTTTGATTTGCAATATTTGCAGGAAGTACAAGTGAGCATTTAGTTCCCATGTGATCACAACAGCATATCTGCTTTTTCTTCTGATAATATGCTGTTTGTTTGCTAGAATGACGCATGAAAGATGGTAACTGCAAAGTACCAATGGCCATTATTATCGAACCAGACCGTTTAGTAAAACAGTTGCATTTATAAAGGGGAGAGACAAAACTGGCACCCTCCTGTACACCATACTTGTACAAGTGGAAGGGATGGATCCATCCCTATATAAGCACACAATGGATAGAAGTTCTACAGATTTACTGATTGTTTGGGGTTCCTAAGTGTATACTCTTATTTACCCAGTGTTTCGAATTGAGATGACGTTGTTCTGAAATTCCTAGCAAGGTTTCACATTCTAGCCAAATCTACTCGATTCATTTTTTTTCAAAAAATGTAACTTCACTAAAACTCAACCCTTTGCTGACTTCCTTTGAAGTTATGCACAGATAACTGTGGTTTTTGTCACCATCTCATTTTAAGTGGACATGGGGATATGCAGCCTGTTCAATTATCCCTTCAATGCAGCTTTTAACTTGAGTTAATTTAGTTAATATTGACCTCTTGATCCTCTGAATGTCCTTTTGACAACACCCATAAATATTTCAAGTCTGATATCTCATTGACTGTGTATTGTGGCAAACACCCTGGAGCATGCTTCTGCACAAGGGGATGATTTTGAGAGTTTTTAAAATGCCTCCAACAAACATGTATAACTGCTAAAAATGTCCCTTATTTGTATTTTGTCATGCCTTTAATGTTTGCAGAGCACCAGGAACTTGTCTGCTACAGGTTCTGTTACTCTTAAACGTACGAGTTATTTAAGAGATTTGTGGTGACACATGCCAATGGTTTTTCTTTGTTCATTCCATATGACCTATTTCTGCCTTTTTGCCTGGTTTGACAAATAAAGTTTGAATATGTAGTGATTTTGTTTGTCATTTATGAAACAGTAGTTTCAGGAAAAAGCCATCTTCTTCACACTAGCTTCCTATCTATGCTGATTTGGGACATGAGTCAGAAGTAATGTACCGATACCAAGTAATTGAAGTGCCTGTATAGTGACAAGACTGCGGGGTCATGTACATATGATATAGTACATAAGATTATTTTAGCAATGTTTGGTCCTGTACTGTACAATATGCTGCTCATCTTTTCTTGTTCTCGTTTATGTCCCATATTCATGGGTGAGCTTCAGCAGTGAATACTTGAGCAGTTCAACTTCAGTTGTTAAAACTGTTGAGCCTAATCCTATTTTCCACCTAATATCAGAATGTCAAAGATAAACCAGGAAATGAAATGTGCGTTTTTATTTGTTGGTATGTTTGTAGAGCCCATAAAATAAATGGAAATTAGTCAAATGTTGGAAAGGTATGGGCTAATCTGAGATATTCAGCATTCGAGTTATGAAAGGTAGGCCCTGCTTGGCTCATTGAATTGAACTTTTATCAGAACATTAGTGTGCAGACAAAAAGAAAATGTGATGGATATTTGTGAAGTTTCGTAAGGTGTTTGCTAAGTTGCTGCATATTGAAAGCTAAGACATTAATATTAGAAGGAATGTACCAAAAATGATGTTTTGGATTGTCTTTATATGGGTGGTGCCTTCTGAGATCTATTTTGGGCCAGTTGGTACAAAATGATTTGCATGTTGGCACTCTGAGGAAGCTTGGTGACAATTCAAGATTTAACTAAAATGTGAAACTGCTGAAAAATCCAGAAATATAGCTCTCAAAATGAACATCTAGAAAGAAATATAAAATAGCAAATTTGAAAAAAGTAATAGTGAAAAGAATTCTATTTGGAACGATAAGAGCTTAAAGATATTTTGGTATGCATTTGCAAATACCTGTAAAGTTGGAAATACAGAGATCTGGGTTCTTATAAATATTTACCGTGACAGCAATCCACTTACAAAACACTAATGATGAATTTGTACAAGATTCTGGGAGCCTCCTGTGCTGAAAATTCTCTTAATTTATGAGTGTCCAGTAGTGTACGTGAAAGAACTGAATAGCATTCATTGTTGAGTAGAAGACTAAACCATATTCTTTTTCGGTTTGAGGGCTTCTTGATATTTTCTAATGGGCCGATATTTGGTTTACAGAGACTATATTTTCAATCTCTAACTTATTCAGATAAATGCCCTTTTATGGAAGGAAATCTGCCATCCTTCCCCAGTCAGGCCTACATGTGACTTCAGGCCCACAGCAGTATGCTTCTTGAATCTTATCTACCCTCTGAAATGGTTTAATAAGCCTGTCTGTTCAAGTGCGATTTGGATGGGTAGCATATGCTGACCTTAACAGCAATACTCTGATCCTATGAAAGAATAAAGAAGAAAAAGCTAATTTAGTTAGATGACCAGTCAGATATCTCTTCTGTGTTAGTGTTGAAGTGGGGTAGTTAAACACTCTCAGGAGCAGAGTTAAAAGATTTCATCAATAAAGTCAATACTATACAACTGTCCATTAAATGTAAATCCACAACGCACAAAGGAAGCACTAATTTTAGTCACCTAGTCCTAATTTCTAGAAAAATCTACGTAAAATGCATGGAAATTAGCCCATGCCTTTCCAAAATTTTTACTAATCAGAAATTCAGTATTGAGTTATCAAAGGTAGGTCCTGCATGACTAACTTAATTTAATTATTTTCAGAAAATTAATGTGTAGTAAATAGGGGATTTTTAGAACCAGAGAAGTTGGCGACAAAACTTTTTTCAAAATAACTAATGCACGCTGTCACCTTAGCCACCTGAAACACCATCCACAGAACTGGAGAGGGCACAGCTAATATGTTTCAATGCATATTAAGAAATCTGGAAGACTTTAACCAGACAGTTGTTACCTTTTGTTTTGCTGCATCTCAACTCACCGACTCAGATTTAAAGTTTACATTACTCATTACGTAGGATCCACGACATAATTTTGGCAAGTACAACGGCTCCTGAACATGTCCTGTCTTAAACTAGACACTTCACATTTGCTTTGCAAGAATTTCACTACCTTATTACCTCTCCAACCCCAGTCAACCCATTTGTTGACAAGTTTAAAACTATTCTTTCTCTCCCTTACAACCTCTCTGTACACCTAGAACTATCTTTCAGCCACTGGCTAGCACTGTATTATCACATACTTTCTTAACTGCTGCCCCATTCACAGGTTGCTTTTCTCTCACATTTATTGCTGCTGGGCTCACAGCAGCAAGCACATGCTGAGCAGCTCTGCACCGGTTACTTTTCATTTTATGGGGGCAGCTTTTCCTGGGTTTTTAATAACTTTGCCATTTGTGGATGGTTTTGCGTATCACTTCTCTGTATCTTGATTTGTTTTGTGTTTCTTCTCTTTACTACCTTTTTGAGTCTAATTAAAGCATGCCACCCAACCCACATGCAGCTAGCACCGAAAAAAAAAGCAGCTAAGTCTATACAAACTCAATCCACAAACAAATGAGCCATCATTAATGTTAATGGATTGGTTACTCAGTAACCAGTCTAGTGAACACAGTGGAATAGTTGACTCCTTTACATTTAAGTTGGAATATTTTTCTATACCTTTTAATGATAGGTGGACACAAAGTTTTCAAGTACTTTGAACCAGCATTTTGCAATGCTATAAATTAATCCCCTTTGTATGATTTGGTTTCAGACATTGCCACTTTCCATAACGAATATTGAGGCAATTCAAACATCCACATAAATCAGTGTGAACTTGGGTGCAAGAGCAAAACCGAACATTCTAGTCAAAATTACTGATATTTGCTGATCTGTTTTTAATCGCCATGGCTTAATGTTGGTCTGTGCAAATGTGTCATTTTTATTGTTTACTGAACTGAATTGATTTTTGTTTGAGGATGTGCTGCATTAATTGTTTAAATAGTCTGGGTGAAACTAGGACAAGAGGGCATAGCCTCAAGATTAGAGGGAGCAGATTTAGGACTGACTTGAGAAGGAATTTCTTCACCCAGAGGGGTTGTTAATCTATGGAATTCCTTGCCCAGTGAAGTAGTTGACGCTACTTCAGTAAATGTTTTTTTAAAAAATGTAGATTTTTTTGAACAATAAAGGAATTAAGGAATACGGTGAGAACGTGGGTAAGTGGATCTGAGTCCATGAAAGGATCAGCCATGATCTTATTGAATGGTGGAGCAGGCTCGAAGGGCCAGACGGCCTACTCCTGCTCCTAGTTCTTATGTTCTTATATTATGTTCTTATTTGCCAGTAAACAAGTTACTAAAGTTGAACCCTTTTCTGTTTTTGTTTTTTATTGTCTCCCTCTTTGCTCATCTCGACCTCTATGAAATACTTCTGTAATTTCTTTGGCACTTACTAACCACCTCCTCTTGACAGAAACATCTAGAATTTTGAATCATAATTAATATCGCCTAAAGGTTGTGTGCACACAGCCTCCAAAGCACACGCAATTGAGATTCTGCTCTTCAAGCATGTTTTGGTTGTTTATGGGTGAAGTAGCAGTTTAGCTAACCATCTGTTGATATTTGGCCCTTCATAAAATATGAAGGGCAGATAATGTGAAAGAATACTTCATGAGGGAGTCTATGAAAGCCTTAAGTGAAATAACACTATGTTCAATCCCATTCTTTAATTGATTGGTGTTTTGTGACACAATTGTCAGACTTTAGTGTAGTAAAAGA